ATTTTTTTCCTTTCAGGAATTTATTCTCTGGGACAGATGGAGAAATGTCAGATTTGTGATGTGTTGCTGCTTGGATCAGGTAGGCATGGGTTCTCCGTGAGGCTGCCTCCAAGGAAGGTCGCATTCATCCATTCCGCTCTTCGAAGAGAGAGGTGGAACAGCTTCGTCCCTCTTGCTAGTGTGTGAGAATAGCAACGTCTCCATTTCCCCTTGTGGAACAGTAGCTGGACAGGGTATATTGGCTCTTCCCATGGAGATTGTACCGACAGAGCAGGAGCTGAGGTTTGCGTTTGGATTTTTGCTGTGACAGTGAGTTCTTTACTCCAGGTGTTGGTCTGGGAGCGTTCTTGATTCATCAGTGCTTCACGGGGTAGATCGTCATCAGGTGGGGAAGAGGCAGTTGGTAACAAGACCAGGAGGAGGAGGTTGGATTGATGATGTTTGATTCTCTCGTGTTTTGCTTTAGCTGGGAACACCCTGGAGTAGTCTCCCTGCTAAGTGGAGAACTCCAGCTCTGACTTGTGAAGCTCAAGCTCCTTGAAAATGTATTTGTTCTAAATACCTCGAAACAGTCTCATCATTTTGGAAAGCAAAAACCTGGAGAATTAAGGCCTCTGGACTTAAGACTGATGTGAGGTATCACAAACTCACTTCCAGAACTGAAGCCTCGCAGCAGAAGTGGAGGAAACGGGGTAGCCCCGTGCTGAGCGTGCCAGGGGTTTGGGCCGGGACAGACTTCGGGTAACCACACTTCCAAATATTTTTAGCCTTTATTTTTTTTCTTCAGCATACTATCTTAGGATAGGACAGAAATAGTCCTCCTATAAAATTCATTTACCCCACTTGTTTTTTCCTGGTACCGCTCGCTCTGTCTATGCAGCTCCTCGGCTTCGGTGTCACAGTCGCTTAAGCAGCTGCTTGAATGCCACCACGGTCCCCTGAGATGCTGCCCTCTCCAGGCCCTAACCACAACCTGCCCTCTAATCGCCTTTTTCCAGGCCCAGGCCTGGCTAGGTGCTATGCCAATGAAACACTGACAGGTTTGTTACTGTAAAATACAGACCAGGAAGAAGAAATGGGTTAACGAGCCGGTGCAATAGAAACTCCTGCACGCACACCGAGTCCATGCGCGGTGCTTGGCTGCTGTGCCAGGGCAGATGAGAACCAGACGACTGCCGTTGTCGCAGAACAAAAATGTCTTGTGGAACCAGAAATAACCACCTCTGGCAGCTTCCCAACACCCTCGCTGTCGGTGTTAGAACCTGAAAATCATGCCTGTACTTGAGGAGATCCTTCCCAAAGCTGATGCTTTCATTCTTCTTTCCACTCGGCATGTTCAGGGGTCACATTTGCTTTTACGAACATGAGGTTCACATCTTAGGCTTGTATGATGACGTTTTCTCCTGGACTCCCCTCTTACTCACCCCTCTCAAAAGTAAGTAGCTTTATAGTAATGCTGCTTTCCGTAAATGCAGAGTATGTGATCCTGACCGGCGTCTTCACCGCTCCTGTCCATAGGTGGTGGTTGAGCAGGGGCTGAGAGTGATGTGTGTGGAGCCTTGGGGTGAAGGCAGAAATGATCAGCCACGGAACACTGAGCACCACACCAAAGAAATGCAGCCAAAAACCTCTGCCGCCTTTTCGATTTCTGGTAATTTGTGTTACATGCGTGACATGGCTCAGGAGGAGGTGACTGAAGGTATGTTTGCTCTCTAAACCCAGTTCTGAAGCAAATATGATTTTAAATCTCTGAGAAGGTTGGCTGTGCTACTCTCCTGTGGCTCTTTCTATTAGGATGGTAAAGTCTAAACTAGGAACAATGTCTTGTGGATTTAATATTGCTTGGGTGTGGGTGTATTGCATTATATCCAGGAAATGCTGGCACAGTTAGCAGTCGTGTCACTTGTCCTGTTCTTGATCTCTGCCTGGTGCTCGGTCTTGTGTCCAAAAATTAACATCTGGATGGTATGGCTGTATATGAATTCCTATCATTTGGTGGTTTATTTTTGTGGGTTTTTTTCCCCAAACAGTTTTTGAATTAATTGAATTTTTATGCTTTGCTTCCGCTGCAACTTCTGCTGCTTCTGTGAATATTTTCCAGTGGAGCTGCCGCTGCTTTTGCTGTACTGGAGCAGCAGAAAGAAGCTTCAACAAGGGCTGGGTCATGGCTTGAAAGAAACTTTTAGGTAGTTCATCTTGTCTGAGCGTGAACTCGGTGGGGTTTGAACATCCTGAACCCCCATAACTCCACACACACAGGTTGCTGCTTTAGGCTGTTGGTCAAGTGAGGCTGCTGGCAGCTGGAATGACAAAAGGCAGGCCTTGGGCTTGAAGATGGAGATTTGAAGTGAGGGCGTTGCAGTAAGAAGTTGCCGTGTCTCCACAGAAACAGGACTTTTGCGTGTGTGGCCCAGAAGATACGCTGAGGGTGCGGGTGATTCAGAGAGGAGGTTTCTAGTCCCAGTAGAGTGAAACTAGCTCTCAGCATAAAATCAGCTGGATTTTAGCTAAACGTTAGGGACAAAGAGACAATGTTTGGGACTTTTTTTTTTTATTAATCGGTTTTACAGAAACCTCACAGTTGGAGACATTTCAATCTGCTGCTTCTGGGGCGCCCTGGGAAAGTGCGCGCTGTCATTTGTGCGGTTGCACCTCCAAAATACATCAGGCAGATGAGATAAGCTCCAAGTGTTTAGAACATCCTCCCATGTGTGTTACCAGTAGGGTTTCCCTGAGTGCAGAGCCTGGCCTGGTAATGGGGGAAGGAGAGAAGTGGAACGTTGTTGTTCTTGCTTAATGTTTTCTTTTGAATGGAAAGCTCCCCATTTAAAAGCTGGGGGATTTTTCTCTCCCTCCTCTACCCCAGAATCATCTGGTGTAGTTAATAACACTTGGTATCTGATTTACCCCGCTGTGCGGAAAAGAGCAGCAGCCTGCCAAGGTGAGGCAATCGGGAAGTGAGGCCGGCAAGAAACAGGAAGCAAAACCGAAGAGGCTGCTTTCATTTTCTAAGCCGACCTTAGGAAGGAAGGGGCCACAACCCCAACAGCATTGCAAGCCCCTCGCTGCACAGCAGCAACCGCTTGGTTTATCGCGATGAATGCTGCAGGGCTGCTCAGGAAGCGGCTTTTGGTCCCGTGTAAATCTGCCGCCGGCTCGAGGAGGAGCTGGCAGCACCTGCACCGTGGGCACAGTAAAGCACTTGGGGAGGCTGAAACTCCCTTGGAGCCCTGCCACGGTCACCCTTTGTACGCTGGCGGCGTAAATCCCCAGGCGGTCCCCACCCTGAAGATGGGCCTTTTAAAAAGCCCTGAATTAGAAAGGAGAAATAATTTGTCCCAACAGGAGGGACATCTGGCTCCCGGGTCATCCAATGCGTGTCTTCCCCAGACCAGGTGTGACCACAGGCAGCTTTGCTGGCAAAGCAGAGCCGAGGAGCTGCTGCCTGGCTCTTGGTGCACACCCAGACCCTCAGATGGACTGTGGTGAGGGAGGAGTACCGCGGTGCCCTGGGTTACGAACCCATCTCTGTATGTACCATCTCTTCTGGGACTTCTGTGGACTGCCCATACCCATCTTTTTCCTCGTCACTCCTTAGCTCCTGTGTTCATGGCCGTGTCTGGATTCTCCCAGAGAGGCCATGCTCAGCGGGAGGTGACGTTATCAGTCGGTGAGGGAATAGGGGCTCTTGCTGTCGATACCAAAGGCTCTGCTAGTTTCGCTGGGGGCTCTGAAAAGCCCAATCCCCATGGCGTGTGAAAGACGTGAGGTTCCTGAATTGTGACTCTTTCAAGCTAGACTTACAAATCATGTGTGGGGGAAGGAGATAAATAAGAATTAAAACAAACTCCCCTAGTTTCACTGCATTAAGTTCTCCAGCCTCGCATGTCTCTTTGGGCTCATTAATTTGTGCAGACCGTGCTGTCTGAACAGCTCAGCACACGGGATCAATGCAAACCCATCCTCATGTTGCACCTGTCAGCCCAGCTCTGATCCTCGTCCTGCCGCTCGCGCCGGCTGCAGAGCGCATCGAGCTTGCAGAGGTCGGGCACGGTGGTTGATATGAGGGGAGGGGAGCAAGTAAGCCACCAAAGGTATGCGGAGTGAAGGGACCGATCGGATTCACAGCCCAGTGAATTCCCTCTGAGGGTGGCCTGGGCTCCGTGTGGAAGCCGGTGTGTGGTTACAGCTGGATGTGTAGCTCGTGGGGTAGTAGTGGTCGCGTGAGTTCTGAAGTCCTGGGTTCCCCAAGGACTGGTCTGCGTTACACACACGTATCCAGGAATCCTGTCTTGATCCCACATGGGCAGAGGCTCTTTCCACAGTAACTGGGCAGTGAGAGGCAAACTTGACCACCACTCCCACCTCCCTGGACCCTTGGCAACACAGGACAAGACAGGGAAGGCTCGGAAACCTTGTATTACAAAAATAAAAGAGCGCACGGCGCAGCGTCACGCGTGAAGCTGCCGTGCCAGGCTCCAGCGCAGAACGTACCAATCGAAGGCAAATATAAAAAAGACAGACACTGTTAAACAGTCGCAGGGCAGCATCCTTAAGGCTGAACAATCCCAGCTGAACTGAGCTGATGTAAACCAAGGACCCTCCTTATTCAGAGCCCCAGCAAGGCTGGCTTGGTATGGCAGGAGCTGGAAGCTCTGCTGTGATTCAGGTGAGGTTAAGCCTCCAGATCTCATTTTCTGTGATGACAGGCCTGAAATGATGAACAGGGCTGGGCTTCCCAAGGGGGCAAGTGCTTCTGGCCTGATCTCATCAGTGAGAGGGCCCTGCAGAGAGAGGGCTTCAGGTTGGGGGGCTCTAACCTGGTCACCTGTGGCCTGTAGGACCCCTCTAAGCATCCTCTGCCTCCCTTCCCTCACTGCCCACGGGCCCTTGGGTCCCCTTTTGCCTTACATCAGCTC